ATGCCTATCTGTGCTTCCAGATGCTAAACGTTTACAAAGCGGAGAATAGGAGATACAATTAAACACTTTATTTCCTGTCAAAGTTGACTTAAGACCGCCAGATTCAACATCCCATACTCTAATTGTGTGGTCCCAAGATGCACTGCAGATTTCTTCAGCATCTGACCACAGAACTGAGGAAATTGCTTCCTTGTGGCCAGAGAGGGTCACTATGGGTGTCCTTGTTAGTCCCAATTGCTCTGTTTTCTGTTTCTTTCTCGGTCGATTTGTAGATTCCTCCATTTCATCTTCTTCATCTGTAGGGACTGTAGACCAGATCTTTAGCATCTTATCCCAGGAGCCACTGCAAAATTTAGTTCCTGTGCTATCAACAGCTATAGAATCCACACTTCCAGCATGACCTCTGCAACAGTGTAGGGCTTTTACTTTATTTCTCTCTACATTCCACTCCCATAAGAGTATAGTCTGATCCATAGAGGCACTCAGTAGTAGGCAAGACAAACTGTCTTTTTTCACCCAGGCCACATCTTTTACAACGTCTGTATGTCCCACAATTGTCATTATTGATTTCCCTTCCAAGGACCAGATCCGAGAAGTCTTATCATAAGAACCAGTCAAGATCCATTCCTCTGCCCCTTTAATTGAACTGATCCAGTCATCATGGAATAAGCATTGCTCTGGCTGAGGTGCAGTGTACTTCTCCACGTATTCTAGCTCCACAACCTCTTCTGATGAGATGTTTTCCAGTTCCATGTGTTTGACCAACGGCATTCGCAGAAACTGACCCTTGATAAGGAAATCAAACTCCACATGTTTGTGGAACTCATTTTTGGCCTCCAGCAATTTATTGATGATGTTACTAAGGTCAGGAATTTCAGAGGCTGCAGGGATTGAGAAGGGAACATCATCTACCGCGTATTTCTTGTTGTCAGTGAAGAAGCGTGTCTGGAGCTGAGCCATGACGGAGAGCACACGCAAGACTTGCCTACAGAAACGTATGGGGTAATGGTCAGACAACGCGCGCTCTGGTCCCTTAGGCTAAAAAATGCAGCTCAAAATTAGACTGCACAGAAAAGCAGAAGCTGCAGTCCAAGACTTGGATTCCGCTTTCTTTCCTCAGGCCGCCTCACCCTACACATTCTTAATGTAAACTCTTCTAAACAGAAATAGAGATGCAAAGAAATCTTCAACTTATTCAGTAGTCTTATTGTTCATAGTAACATGGGATTGTTATTTTGAAAACCATTATTTTTATATATATGTTATGTTATATATATAATATAATATATAACATGTAACATATAATATATACATAATAAATGATTTTATATAGTATATAAAATATATAACAAATTTATATTGATATATTTTGCATGTTTATTAAATATATTTTAAAATTTCTATGTATATACATACATATCAAAATAAAGCAAATGAGTAATTAGATTAAGGTTCTTAGCAACCAAAGTTTATAGTAGAGATAAAGGTGATACTATAATTCTAAGAAAAATCAAGGTATTAAAGTAAAGTCCCTTTGAATTTATGTTTAAATCAGAAATGTTAGCTTGCATTCACAATTTGTAAAAAATCTGTATTTCCAGCTCTGTCCACTGAAAATGTTCACAAGCAATTGTAACTCATTAGCAATAACACTCCTAGAAAAACAAATGTGGGACACAGCTATAGCTGCTATGTATCTACAACTTGAGGTATTATTTTAATTTTAGCCTTGTTATATTAAACTATATAATGACGAAAATAAAAACATGAAGCTAATATTCAAGAGTAATTAGGTCATCTCTACAATACACAAATTGGACTGGATATTTGTAATTGTTGAAGATTAGTCAAAGTGAATAATTCAAGCTTTAACATGTATTTTGTTTTATCATTCGTACTGATTAATTTAAGTCATTGCCAAGTTTCAACTTCATTTTGTTTACACGAATACAGACTTTTAGAAAAAGCCTCTATTGCATATTTAGAAGTGTGCACTTAATTATCTAAAGAATAACTTCATTGGGGATGATTTAATTTATATATGTATGCATATGTTTATTTAATTCCCTAAGAAGAGTGATCAGAAATCCCACCAATTATAGAAATCTCATAGTTTGTTCAGAGAAAATAACTTGTTGACTTTGGTATAAAACATGCAGCAGCAATTTCTAATTATTAAATAAAAATAAAGCCAGACAATAGATATAGTAATGAAAATAAAAGAGAAATATCAAGATGGCATAATTAAACAGCTGGAGAAACACTACACATATCATATTCACAAGTAAATTCCAGATGGATTTAAATTTTATGTAAAAAAACCCTGTAATATTAGAAGAAATTTTAGGAGAATATGTTTATAACTTTGGAGAGGAGAGAACTTACTAAGCAGAAAATGAAACCCTGAAGCTATAAGGAAAAGTCAGATATGTTTCTTTTTATATCATAAGCAAAGACAAGAGACAGACAGTATACTGGGTAAAAATGTTTCCAACATTGACATTTCTAGCAAACCAAGTTCTCCTATAAATTGGTAAGGAAAGACAATCTAATAGAAAAGTGGATAAAAGAACATAGACATTTCACAAAATGAAAAACTTTAGATAGCTAATAGACTTCTGTAAATTGGTTGAGAAAATGAAAATAATGAAATATTTCTTAAATTAATTTTTAAAAATTAAATCTAATTTTTAAAAGTTTATTGAGGGCTGGCCGAGTGGCACGATGGTTAAGAGCTGGCTTGGGATGCCAGAGGGCCCCAGTTTAGATCCCACATATGAGGGCCAGTGACACTGCCTTCTACAGCTAAGATGCTGAACAACAGCTCAACCTGGAGCTGGACTGCCGTGAGTTGCCAGCGATGGCGTAGGCTGCAGCCCCTGCTGCAATGGGTTGCCATGGGCTACCATGTGTAGCCAGCAGCCAGCACGAGCAGGCAGCAGCCACCGTGAGCGGCCGTCCAGAAGCCGTTGACTGATCTGCCTTGCCCAGGAAGAGTGCAATGATGGTGCCAACTTGGGCCAGTGAAGCAATGTCCTCCACAACTAGACTGAAGAACAAAAGGACAGCAACTTGTCTGTTCCCCTTCCCCTAATTCCTCAGCGCTGTTCCCATCCCCCCAATTCCCCAATTAAAAAGAAAGTTTATTGGGGTGACATTAGTGAATAAAATTATATAGACTCAAATGTACAATTCTGTAGTACATCATCTATATATTGCATTATACCGTATTTCCCCATGTATAAGACGCACCGCACCCTTTTTCAAAAAATTTGGGATCTAAAAACTGGGTGTGTCTTATAGAGTGGTTGTAGATTTTTTTTACTTGCATTTCCCGCAAGTGATGAGGAGTTGTATGAATTTTATGATGAATAAAACTTGAGTTCAATAACTTTATGTAATACATTTTTTTCAAATTTCAGGCCCCAAAATTAAGGTGTGTTTTATACATGGGAGCGTCTTATACATGGGGAAATACAGTATGTTCATCACCCAAAGTGAAATCTCCTTCTCTCACCATAAGAGGTCTGACAATTCAGATCACGAACTCATCTTAGAAAAAGTGCTACATACCTCACTGCTGAATACCACTATGGTCACCCTGGAAGTACTCCCTTTGAGAAGCTATGCATCAACGCCAGCACCTAGTCCGCCCTTCAAAGCAATTTTGGAACTCTTTTTCTGACCATCAGAGCTGTCATTGTATTACCTTGATGTCCTGAATATCATCAAAATGTCTTCCTTTCAATGTTTCCTTTATCTTCAGGTAAAGAAAGAAGTCATTGGGGGCCAGATGAGGTGATTAGAAGGGTGCTCCAATGTGGTTATTTGTTTACTAGCTAAAAATTCCCTCACAGACAGTGCCCCATGAGCTGGTGCATTGTCGTGATGCAAGGGCCATGAATTATTGGCAAAATGTTCAGGTCATTTTCGTCTGACATTTTCACACAGCCTTTTCAGCACTTCCAAATAGTATACTTGGTTAACTGTTTGTCCAGTTAGTACAAATTCATGGTGAATAATCCCTCTAATAATAAAAAAGGTTAGCCACATCGTTTTGCCTCTCGATTTGGACTCACGGAACTTTTTTGGTCATGGAGAATTGGCTGACTTCCATTGTGCACTTTGATGCTTTGTTTCAGGGTCGTATTATTGCACTGATGTTTCATCACCAGTGATAACAGCCCAAAACATCTTCTTGCCTCTCCAAAAGGCCTTGGCAAACTTCAACTCTCTTTTGCTTTTGTTCATCGGTGAGTTCCTTTGGGACCATTTTTGCATACACCTTTCTCATGCCAAGATTTTTAGTTAAGATTTCCTTGTTTTTCTGTCAATGTTTACTTGGTCTGCTATGTTTCTCACAGTCAGCCTATGATTTTGACACAAAATTTGTCAAATTTTTGCAACGTTTTTATTAGTTCTACTTGTTACTGACTGCCTTGACCTCTCTTCATTAGTGATGCATTCTCTCCCCTTAGAAAAACGTTTAATCCATTTGTACACTGCCGTTTTCTTCATGGCATTATTCCCATAAACTTGGTCGAAGATGTCCCTGATTTTACTTCCACTCTTGCCAAGTTTACCAAGAAATTTAATGTTTGTTCGTTGCTCTAATTCAAGCTCAGACATTCTCGTGACAGCAAACAAAAACACATAACAACAATAAGGAATGTCACTCAGCAAGACACTGCCACATGTCGACACAAACACAGCTGTGAGACACTGATTTTTTTAGCTGAGCCATCCTGCCACCTGTTGGCAGCTCAGTGGCATCTCAGCTCGGGCCGGGAATTGAACCGGCGACCCTGTTGCTCAGAGCTTGCACTCTTGAGTAAGCTCTTAACCAACTGAGCCACTCGGCCGACCCCTTACTGAGCTGTTTATACAGTGCTGCCAATGTAAGCGCACAGTAGCAAGTTCATGAACTTAAATGTCATACCTTGTATATTTGATCCCCTTTATCATCTTCTATCTCTCCCCTCCCTCGTTGCCCTCTGGTAACCACTAAACTGTTGTCTGTATCTATGAGTTTTTGCTTGTTTGTTTGTCTTGTTTGTTTGTTGCTTTCAGTTTTATATCCCACATATGAGTGAAGTCATATGGTTCTCGACTTTTTCTGTCTGACTTATTGCACTTCGCCTGATAATCTCAAGATCCATCCATGTTGTCACAAATGGTAGTATTTCATCTTTTCTTGTGGCTGATATTCCATTATACATATGTACATCTTCTGTATCCAATCAATCATCTATCGAAGGACACTTTGGTTGTTTCAATGTCTTGGCCACCATGAATAATTCTACAATGAACATAGAGGTACATATATCTTTACAGATGAATGTTTTCAGATTTTTTGGATAGATACCCAGAAGAAGGATTGCTGGGTCATATGGTAACTATTCTTAATTTTTTGAGGAACGTCCATAGTAGCTATACCAGTTTACATTCCCACCATTCCCACCAGCAGTGTGTGAAGGTTCCTTTTCCCCCACAACCCCTCCAACACTCCTAATTACTTGTCTTATTGACACTAGCCATTCTAACAGGTGTGAAGTGAATAGCTCATTGCAGTTTTGACTTGCATTTTCCTAATAGCTAATGAAGTTGAGCATCTTTTCAAATAGCTGTTGGCCATTTGTATGTCTTCTCAGGAAAAGTGCCTGTTCATGTCCTCTGTCCATTTTTTAATTGGATGGTTTGTGTTTTTTGTTCTTGAGTTGTAGGAGTTCTTTATGTATTTTGGATATTAACTCTTTATCAGAGGTGTTGTTTGCAAATAACTTCTCCCATTCGGTTGGTTGCCTGTTTGGTTGATGGTTTCTTTTGCTGTGAAGAAACTTTGTAGTTTGATATAGTCTCATTTCTTTATTTTTTCTTTTGCTTACCTTGCCTTTGAGGTCAAATTCATAAAATCCTGTCTAAGATCAAGGTCCATAAGTTTAGTACCTGTGTTTACTACTATGCAATTTATTGTTTAAGGTCTAATGTTTAGGACTTTGATCCATTTTAAGTTAATTTTGGTGTATGGTGACAATAGCCTAGTTTCTTTTGCATGTAGCTTTCCAATTTTCCCAGCACCATTCATTGAAGAGGCTTTCTTTTCTCCATGGTATGCTTATGCTTTT